TCATGGGAATTCTAAATTAACATTAACGGCATCGTATGCATCAGGTAGATACGGTCACATATTATTTCCCGAATCGATTCATTATCATTATCGGAATCTTTGCTTGATGGGGTAGGGAAAATTGGGCCAACAAGGTATTTTATTCTGATAATGGGAGTACCGTCATGGAAATTGCATTAAAGATGGCATTAACCGAAAAGCAATTTGGAAGGAAGTTTTCATGGAGATACGATTGGAGTGATGAACGCGAGTATTCCTAGTATTTATAATAAGCGCGTGAATTGGTATTCTCCGAAAGGTGTTTGGTTTGCCCCTCCACAGATATTAATGAAAGATAATATATACAGAATAAAATTTACCAACGGTGATGAAATTGGTAGGTTTGATTCATTATCAGAGATATTTAGCGAGAGTCGAATCGAAAAGGATGGATTATCATATCATTACAAGCAAAATATCGAAAAACGAATACTTGATCATGTGAATCAAGGAAACAAATTTGGAGCTTTAATCATGGAACCAATAGTGATGGGTGCGGGAGGAATGATATTCGTTGATCCATTATATCAAAATCAATTGATTAAATCGGTTCGTTCGATGCTCAATATTCCTATAATATTTGATGAAGTATTTACAGGATTTTGGCGATTGGGTAGAAAATCCGGTGCCGAATATTTAAACGTGAATCCAGACATCGCGGCTTACGCAAAGTTATTAACCGGCGGATTATGTCCTTTGGCGGTTACTTTGACGAATGAACAGATATTTAACAAATTTCTTGGCGATACAAAAGTTGATGCCTTACTTCACGGTCATTCTTATACCGCACATCCTATCGGTTGTTTGGTTGCAAATACTTCGATCAATGAATATATTGATCTGTTCAAGAAGGATTTGAATAAATCAAGAGAAGAGTGGGATGAATCGAACAACGAAATGTTTAGTGTATGGAGCAAAACTGGTGTGAGAAAACTTTCTTGTTTACCAAATGTTAATGGTGTATTTGCATTGGGAACCATATTATCTATTGAATTAAATGATAAAAGTGGTGGTGGATATGGTTCTAACGTTGCCAAACTTTTCACCGAGAAACTTTCCCAGGTTGAACGTAATTCTATTGATGATTTTGGCATTAAAACTAGACCTTTGGGTAACGTTGTTTATATAATGACCTCATTAATATCCGACGAAAAA